AAAAAAAAAAAAAAAAAAAAAAAAAAAAAAAGTGGGCTCGAAATTTTCGGTTTTGGTTGGTTTGTTTTGGTTTTTAAAAAGGAAAAGAAAATAAAAGAGAGAGAGAAAGGTAGATAGAAAAAGAAGGAAATAAAAAATATCCAAGCACCAAGAAAGCTTTTTGAGTTTGGGGGAATATGCCCAGAGGAAAGTCCTGCCCCGAGAGAAATGAGGGGGATCACGGGGGTCTGGGCCCGGGGTTCTCACGGCACAATCCAAGGCTCCTGCTCCGATCCCAGACCCTCGGGACGGGGAAAAGCCGGGCCCGGCTCGGGGAGCCCCTGAGTTGCCCCTGGCAGCCGGAGTTTAAATTTACGGGGTGCAAAACAAATGTGCCGTGAGCCCCACTCGGAGCCGAGCCCTGCTCTGCTGAGGGTAATTCCCTTCCTGCCCTGACCTGGCCTCTTTTCCTCCCTGTGCGCTCAGTGAAAGAAGAAGGGGACCGAGAGATCTCCAGTTCCCGGGACAGCCCCCCGGTGCGGCTGAAAAAGCCGCGCAAAGCCCGCACCGCCTTCACCGACCATCAGCTGGCCCAGCTGGAGCGCAGCTTCGAGAGGCAAAAATACCTGAGCGTGCAGGACAGGATGGAGCTGGCCGCCTCCCTCAACCTCACCGACACGCAGGTGAAAACGTGGTACCAGAACAGAAGGTAAAAAATGAACCGTTCCCTCCTGCCCTGCTCCCCTCCCCGGCCGCGCACCCCAAACCACGCAGGGATTTTGCACCCCAAAACCGGCCCGTTCCTCCCGGCACCGGGACAGGGGCGATGTCCGGCCCTTCCCCACCTCTCCCGGAGCTTTTTAGGGGAGAAAAGGGGAGAAAAGCGATGCTGCGTGTGGGGCAGGAGGGGCAATCTGTGCCCCCAGCCCCGGCAAGGCGGGGAGGCAGGACCGGGCTTGCAGCGAAACACAACAGCATAACACATCGGCCCATTAATAATAGATACCAATTACTGCTTTGGGCATCAATAATTAACACTCTTTACAGTAATTACACAATTATTATTATGATGAATAATTTACTGGTGGAAATAGGTTTTAGCGCTTCAGCGACAAATCTGTAAAAGGGCTGGCGGCGCGGTGGCTTCGGTGGGTTTGTCCCGACATCGCCAGCCCCGAGCATTGCCATGGCCACCAAACGAGGGATCCCCGGCTGCAGCCCCCGCCCTGTCCCCTCGCCCGTTCCAGGGTTTTACCCTCCCTCCCCATCATTTCCAGTCCCATTTCTCCATCTGCAAAGATTCCCCCACGTCGGAGGTTTGGGGAAGTTTAGGGGCGACGGGGGACGCTGGGATCGCCCCTCCTCTGCCCAAATCTCTCCTGCAAGGACACGGCAGAGACAAAACTGAGCTCCCAGCCCTTCCCCTGCCCGCCGGCGGCGAGATCCTGGGGCCGGGGATCCTCCACGAGATCCGGCACACACACATTTAAAAAAAAAAAAAAAAAAAAAAAAAAAAAAAATATATATATATATATGTGTGTGTGTGTGTGTGCGTATGTATATATATGTATATATATACACATATATATACACATTTATATATACATTTATATATATACATGTCTATACCGATATAGGCATGTAGGCATTTATATGCGTATATAAATATATACGCATATAAAAATATACACTTCCATACATAAATAAATACATTCATATATATATATATACACACACACACACATCTATATATGCATATGAGTATTTAGACACAGATATATAGATGTATTTGCCGCAAACGAATTCCCCGGGACCCTGCCCCTCTCCTGTCCCCCCGCGGG